CCAGCTTAAGCCCAAGAACAGAATTCAGCTGGCCCATATCGGCAGCTGTGGCCTGTTTCCTTCTTCTCACATATACTTTAATTGGGCCTTTATCAATATATCATCATAAAAATAGTCTTACCTTCCTACACGACATTAGCTATTAGCAGAATATCCTTTCGAAAATCCTCTCTCTCTTATCCTATTTTAGATCTCAATTTTAACCCTGTCGAATCTAGTACTAGAAAACAGTTTAAAACCCTCTATTACTCTATAGCACATGTGATCTTTAGCATTTTGTATAAATTACGTTTTTCTTTTTCTTTCTCTACTTCGGTTTTTTCCCTGCAAGTGTTTCAACGTAAATCCCAGTGTTCATTGTCTACTTATTCTCATTTGATTTCTGCACTTCATCATAATATATCACCACCCATTTTCATCAAATAGACTTATCAGTAGGTAGTAATGACCTAGGATTCCTAAAGTACAACAAAATCATCTGAACAAGGAGGTATATTTGGTATGGCATTCAGATCAGCAGGCCGGCTCAAACAGGTCTTGGCAATTAGTCTCCTTCATTGAAAAAAGGTAGACTGGATGATCACTTTAAGTAGACTTAAACCTACATCTTTTATCATGATGTTCTGAAAAAAGGATAAACAAGAATATCTTTCACATACACAACACTTGGAGGTTAGCATGCATAAAGTCGCATCTATGACAAACATTGCCGCCAATCAAGATTCAAGACCTATCAGACTGAGTAATTGGAGGGCTCTTATGTTTTGTTTGTTGCTAATTCTTGGTCCAGCTATTATGTAAATGCATTGTTCTACTATTAATGAACATGATTCTTTGGGCTGGCAATCTCTTTTAGTTGAGATCGTGATGCTTTTCTTTTGATTAACTAACCCATTACATCAGTTGTTGCTTATGAATTATATTTCAAACATACAGCATAAAAGATAAAATAGGCAAGATCACCCTACATATGCACATCTTTAGGTAAAACCCAAAGAGCAGGGTGATGGATTATGTTATGTGTTTAATCATGGCATTTAATGAGTATCACTATGTTTGCCACACATCATGTGACATATGAAGAAATTTATATCTTATACAAATATCTGAATAAGATTTTGAAATCATTGTCCACTGTGTTGGTTTTAAGGTAGTGTAATTATAAGTTCCAAAACCTTTCGAAATATTCCCCCACCCTAGAAAAGGAATTCACTTTAAAATCTAGAAGGAACTTGAAGAGAACTCTTTTGGACAGTATTACACATGATTAAGACACTTAGAATAATGACTCTTTATTCGATGTTTAGAAGAAAAGAATACCTTAGGAACATCAAAGTTGTTATAATGTTAAAGTTTGTGAAGGACTTCTTTTATGTTTTTACAAAAATCGTAAACAGGGACCTGTCTTTGGAATTGACCAACTGAAAAGTTCGTAAGAGAAAACTTAAAGTTGAAGCATTGTTCCTAACTAGCAGCAGTAAGAATAAATAAAAACTAAATAGAGAAGAACATACAGGTAAACCACATCTGCTTAATGCAGTAGAGCTCATCAAAATTGCCCATCTACCAAGGATTGCAGTATTTTGTTCTCCAATAGCATTCTTCATCTGGTTTTTGGTTGCCAACATTAGGCAATATTGGCCAATGCTGGGATTTATAAAGGCTGCATGGTTGGACGAGAGGGTTGAGTTATTGCATGGAGAATTAACTTGGTCACCAAGCATGCTCAGAAAAGCTTTAGAGTAATTCCCTAATATCCACTGAAAACCAAAAAAGAAGTAAGACTCAAAACAAGGAGATATTAATCAGATTCCATGTATGAAAGTGAGAGAACTCTCTTCTTTAAGAAAAAAAAGGTGGTCATATCTTATCACCTCCAGAAAGCTTGATTTCCAGTAGTCACCATTTTCATACGCGCATGGCAACAGGACCTTTGATATAAGATGGTGTTCCAATGGCCCACCATACCCTTCAAGAAGACGACAAATTACAAGAGCAAGCTGCTCATCCCCAAGAGTTTTTGCACAAATATTGATAGCAGCAGCAGTATCACCTCCAAGCATGAAAAAGGCTACAGCAAGCTCCAGCTGATGTCTTCCCATCAACACATAAGCATTTTTCAAAGCAGCAGCCTTATTTTTCTCCTCCTGTACCAAATTAATGGAATTTCTGATGAATCCAGCATATTGCATGACATTTCGCACTTAAAAGAAATCAAATCAATGGCTTGAACTTGTATTAACCTGAAAATTGCGTGAAAGAAATGCCACCAGTGGCTTGTCTTTTTCATCTTTGCTGATTTTAAAAAGACCAGCCAAAACTTGCAGCCTATTTAAAGCTACATACAGAAGTGTGCAAGCCTTTGGATCCTTACTTTTCAGATATTGCTGTTTTGCCAGCCTCTCCATCTGCAACAAAGAAATTGATGGAAGAGTCGATGCATTGGTGGCTGGATACATCCCCCATATTTTATAAAATATAAAATCACACCTGACTTGCAAAATCAGGTAAGTTGGAGAATTGTACGAACTTCATATGCTTATAGTGTCCACTGTTCTCAATATTTAACTCAAATTTTCTGGACTAATTTTCAGACAGGAATTCCATATACCTTTCAAATGTATCCTGACCTTGTATTTGCATATACAGTGTATAATTTGAGATTTCCTAACTAGTACAAAAGGACACTCTGCTTAAGAAAAATACTAACCAACAACTAAGAGCCATAACTGATAGAAAAACAAAAATTCGACCACTGGTTTTTGCTTTCTCAAATTAACCACTACATCTATTAACAACTGCCGAAAAACAATGATGTGACAGATAACTTTGTCTGTCTTAAATAAAATATTGATTTGAACTTTAGCATATATTTTTTATTTTTGCATCTTAAACTATCCAAAGAAGAAAGTGATTCATCATCAGAAAACTACTATCAACCCCATAAACAATCCACTAATTGTCTTTTAACCCACCAACACAACTGAATCCCTCTTCACTCACTACCACAGATACCATACTACCACGACTATTTTCTACCACTTCCATCTGTCAAACACACCAGAAATATCCCTACCCTTTACCACTACCACTCATCATTCCCTTTACCCAACCATTGCCACCATCTTTAACCAAGCTACTATCTTCACCCACCACAGAAAGCAAAGCAACAAGAGCTATATCAGTGCTCCTGCACGTCTTCAACATCACTGCTCCCGAACTTCATAACCACCACATGTATGTGTTTATCACTTCAGTAGAAAACACGCACAAGCAAAGTTGTTCAAGGCTCAAGGCACATTTAGGCACAAAGGGGTACCGAGGCCTAGGCGTGAGGTGCAGGCCTCTGGAATGCGAGGCGCACCTTATCTACATATATATATATATATATATATATATATATACACACCACAGTTACACCAACTCAAATATGGAGCAAGTACAAGCCTCCAGTGCAGCAACCAACAGAACTTTGATAGAGGCAGAAGGGTTTAAAGCATGAGCCGTGAAGGAGAAGTTTTAAGGTCTGGGTATTTAAGAGGAGTGGCTTGAAGTTCTAAGGAATAGGTATTTAATATTAGGGTTTGATTATGTTCTCTATTTGATAACTCTTTCTTTAAGAAGTCTAGGAGATGAGAAGATGAGAAAATATATTTAATCTTAGGGTTTAACTAGGTATGTAGTAACTTTTTGAGGCGTGCCTAGGCCCACAAGGCGCCTTGTTAGTGAGCCTCATGAATACGCCAAGCCTCGACTTGAAAAAAGCCCAAGACCTTGAGCCTTATGAGCCTCAGAGCCTAGGAGGACCTCAGGCATGCTTTTAACAACCATGCACACAAGTGAATAAATATGTCCTTTCTGCAAGCGATCTAGGGGGTTTAGCATTTTATTCAAGTGTAATCAAGAATTTTCAGTCAGACGGTCTTTTTCCATTTAATTTAAACAATATTTAGAATGCGTATAACAGAGCATAATGGTTAAAATTTCGATTCCAAAGAGTTATCACATTGGAAAAATCACTAGCCCAGTGGTCAAAATTGAACAGTCAAAATCACACTAAAATACATAAGTATTGCAGAACTATATTGCATCACTAACTACAGAAATTAGTTTTTAGTGGAAGTGGCCAGAAAATACCTTTACTCGCAACTGTGATTTATTCGTGTACCAAAATCCAACACCCATGTTACGCATTTCATGCCAAGATGATTCGTTATTCAAAAGAGATTCAAACAAGCTTTCTTGACAATCAGAGTGAAAAGCCCAACCAATAAGGGCTGAGTCAATGACCAACTCTCCCATGGATGGCAATCTCCCCAGTCTCCTGACAGAATAAAGCTGCTGAAACCTTACTGCAACCCAGAACCTTCAAAAGAAAAGTGAAAAGGACATGAACAATAAAAAACAGAAATTAGGATACAGCTAGCATGGACAAAATAAAAAATTAAAATCCCAAAGGCAAATAGCAGAAAGTTAAGTCACACAACTTAGAGCAACAAAATAAATTCATTTCCCCATAGATGATGACATTAAGGCACCATAAACTCAGGTAATATTAGGTAGAGAAACATCCAATATACACAGATGTAGAGCTTGTGTACCTGGAAAACTGAGCAAAAAGTTATAATAAAGACATCAAAGGACAATCTAGCTAAAGAGTGGTGATGCCAGTAATCAATACCAAAACCAGAACCCTTCATGCTTCCACAGCCGCAAGCTAAATGAGATAGTTAGAAATTAGGCTGTGATTTGATATCTAAAGGGTGGCTTAGGCATTAAAATAGTGAGTCTAATAATAAAGACACTTGACCTGAAAAACATAAAGACAGGACTTGTGGTCCTACAAAATTACCAAAGGATTGAATTGGGACTCGGTGTGTGCTGGAAGTAAGCTAGGCCAAAGGTTCAGTACTACCTTGTAGTTCAAACAGTTCTACCATAATAACCATGTCCCATACATCCTCTTCTATATGGTAGCATTCCCGGTCTTTTAGTGTACTCGTCATATTACATTTTCAACCAAACACTTCAACATATATAGCAGGATAAAGTTTCTATTCTAGTCATTAAGTGTGACAAAACCTAAATAAAAGATATGCTGACTGTTGACTGTTTCCAGTAGCAATACGTGCCTATCCTATAAACAAATCTAAAGTTTAACATTTCATAATATAATCAATGTAATAGTGTAACCACTTAAAGACAAGTTGGGTGGTTGAAAAAGTCAAGAACTCTAAAAAGTACTGTTTAAAATATCCAAAGGGATATTCTAAAGTAATCATAGAAATTGGTGTGAAAGCATACTAAACATCAAAATCACATTTAAAGAAACTTAGATCCAATGTATCATCAGAGGAATCTAGAAGTTATAGTTACCTACGACCAGGTTCGTCAAGGCCTCCATATGGCGAAGATGCGTTTGAATTACAAATTTCATCAAGAAGATCAATAACAGCAAGAATATGTATCTTTTCAATATTTGTTATAGCTGAAATATCCTGTAACTTCTCAAGGGAATCAGTGAATCCACTCCATCCAGATCTTGTAGAAGTCGAATTTAATGAATTGCTAGAAGCATTAGAATCCCAATCAGAGTAATTAAATGTATCTAACCGGAAACTGGAAGACGTGCCTACATTTGCATTGCCATTTGTTGAGATAAGTCCTTCAACATAGTCCAACAAGCCGATTTGTGGAATTTTATGGCCAGACTTAGCAGTACGATTTCCTTTCCAATCCGCATTATTAGAAGTAAGATGTTCAAAGAGATGCCCCAGGGAACTTCGTGCACGTTTCCAATTGCCTGAACGCATCCATATTATTATGAAGCAAGTACTATGACGATGAATGGGACAACAAAGACTGAGAGAAGAGGTAGTAGTAGTAGTACAAAAATAATAAAATTTACCTGTGAGAATAGAACCATAGTGATTTAGGATCAAGTAATCAAGTTCACCACGAAAGTAAATCTACATAGATCACCGAACTTCCCACTTTTCCGGTTTTCTAAGTGTCATAGTGCAGAGAGAGTATATAAATCCTTCATGTGTTTATTCTATTAAAGGTAAATGTCGTTAGTTTGATGATAGCTTTTCATGGTTATGGGTCTCCGCTGAATTTGCCCCGGCAGGAAGGGCATGGGATTTTCCACAACTTTTGATGGTTACCACAAGTATTCCCTTATCACAGATAAGATGGGAATAAAGGAGTATAGGATTAAGATGCATGGAGCCTGCTACTTTTTTGTGTTTAAAAAGCGTATGTATATATTCGAGAAAGCATGTGAAGAACGTTCATCACGCTAAATCAATGCCTAGTAGGATAGTATGTGCATAATGTTTAAAATAACTGTTAGGTGTGGCTTTAATTAAAATAGTTAGTTTTTTCTGCTAGCGACTTGGCTATTACCTATAAATAGGTTGGGTTATCCTCATTTGTGAATAATCCCAATTTCAAAAATAAGATTCCTTCGATTTCCCATTTCTTCCAAAATTCTCTTTACATCATTTTCTCTAATTTCTTGACAAACTGGTTTCAGAGCATTAGGGTTCCTTCCAACTGCTAATCATTGGTCTCCTCCTCAATCAATTTGGATTTCGCCTTGTTATCGATTCTGATTTTGTCTTTGAGTCGCATTTCTTTGGAATCGTTTTCTGTTGACAAGCGATTGAGTCAATTTGGTGTCCCATTCAAGGTGGAGCTTCTCGATTCTGGAAATTGATGGTGTAATTGACGGATTCAGCGATCAATTTGAGGAATCGGCAACAACTGTCAATTTCTAAAATTTATCGGTCTAAATTGATTCTTCTACAATCAATCCTGTTGTTGGGTGCTCAATTGGAGGTATCGACTTGTGACCAGCAATCAAACTTGATGTTTTGATTTCTTGAAAGGTCGGTTTTTTTGGGGATTATCGATTTTGGACAGCCAATTTAGAAATTGCCAACTCAATTGAAGATTAGTCTGGATATTTGTTCTTGATTTCTCAGCATTGAATCTTGTACCATAGTTCTTCTCAGGATTTCAGAAAATGCCTCCACAAATGATCAGGATAGACAAGTTTACAGGAAAGAACAACTTCAGCTTATGGAGAATTAAGATGAGAGCTCTCCTAAAACAACAAGACATCTGGAATCCCTTGGCTATTGAAAGGCCTGAAGATATGGTTGAATGTAAGTTTGCACAACAAGATGAGAAGACTCACTCTACCATCTTGTTGTCTTTGGTGGATGAGGTGATTTATGAAGTTGCCAATGAGTAGACTGTTGCGTCTTTATTGCTGAAATTAGAGAGTCTCTACATGACCAAGTCCTTAACGAACAAGTTGTTGTTAAAGCAAAAGGTTATTCTCACCACGAATGAAGGAGGGAATGCCTTTGAAAGAACATCTTGATGAGTTAAACTCCATTCTTATGGATTTGAAGAATGTTGAAGTCAAGATTGAAGATGAGAATGCCGCCCTCATCTTACTGGTTTCGTTGCCCACTTCATATGAAAATTTTGTCAACTCCTTCGTTGTTGGTAGAGACACAATTGCTATGGAAGAAGTTTGTGCAAGTTTCCACTCACAAGAGTTGTGACATAAAGCTTCAAGAAGTAGTTCCAAAAGCCAATGGGTAGGCTTGTCGGTGGTAAACAGAGACAGAGACAGAGGTAGAGATAAAGGCCAAGAGAAAGGAAAAGGGAAGTGGAAAAGTAGAGGCCGATCAAAATAGAAGACTAGAGGTCCAAGTGGAAACCCAAGGGACGGCTGCCACTATTGTAAAGATCCGGATCATTGGGAAAATGAGTGTCCAAAACTGAAGACAAAAGGATTCGTTATTGTAGCAAAGGATGATTCGGGTTTGGAGGCTGATTTGGTGCTCTCGGTGGTTGATTGCAAAAGTCAATCAGAGGTATGGATTCTTGATTCCGCATGTTCATTTCACATGACACCACATAAGGATTGGTTCAAAACCTATGATAAGATTGCAACCGGAAATGTCTTGATGGAAAATGACATGTCGTGCAATGTTGTTAGAATTGGATCGGTGAGTATTAAAATGCATGATGGGACAGTGAGAACTCTAACAGATGTTCGTCATGTACTCGGGTTGAAGAAATTCTTAATCTCTTTGGAAGTGTTCGACTCAAGAGACTTCAAGTACACCGGTGAGGGTGGAGTAATTTGGGTCACTAAGGGTGCATTAGTAGTGATGAAAGAAGTCAAGAGAGGTACCTTGTATGTGCTTGAAGGTAGCACGGTTGATGGATCAGCAGCACCAGCCCTTGATCCTGTAGAGAATAAGTCAGATTTGACATGTCTGTGGCACATGAGGCTAGGGCATGTTAGTGAGAAAGGCATGGTAATTCTCAGCAAGAAAGGACTTCTTGGAGGTCATAAAGTTGCTGAATTGGGCTTTTGTGAGCATTGCATCTTTGGAAAACAAAGAAGAGTGAGTTTTTCAAAAGTTGTCCATTTAACCAAGTCGACTTTAGATTACCTTCACGCTGATTTTTGGGGTCCCTCGCAAGTTCCTTCACTTGGTGGTGTCGTTACTTCCTCTCAATTATTGACGACTACTCTAGGATGACGTGGGTATTCGTCATAAAGCATAAGAGTGAGTCGTTTAAGAAGTTTAAAGATTGAAAAGTTCTCATTGAAAATCAAGTTGGGAAGAAGATAAAGCGGCTGCGAACGGACAACGCAACGGAGTTTTGTTCAAGTGAGTTTGATCGGTTTTGTAAAGATGAAGGAATTGCAAGGCATCGAACAGTTAGGCACACTCCACAGCAGAATGGAGTAGCCGAAAGGATGAATAAAACACTGTTGGAAAGAGTGCGATGTGTGTTGTCAAATGCAGGGTTAACTAGAAGTTTTTGGGCAAAAGCGTTAAACACGGTTTGCTACTTGGTGAATAGATCCCCGGCAACTGCAACTGACTGTAAAACTCCTATTGAGGTGTGGTCCGATAAGCCGGCTGATTACACGGGCTTAAGAATATTTGGTTGTCCTTCATACTACCATGTTAGTGAAGGAAAATTGGAACCAAGATCAAAGAAGGGGTTGATAATGGATTACGGAATTGGAGTAAAGGGCTACAAAATTTGGTCTCTTGATAAAAGAAAGGTGATTCTTAGTCGTGACGTAGTGTTTGATGAGGAGAGTATGTTACGTGGCGTGAGGTATTCATCTACTCCAAGTGTTCAAGAGGAGAGTGTGTCCGAACACGTGGAGTACGAGTTAAATGGTACCGATGAAGGCGAGAATATTGTTGGACAGCCCAGTAACTCGCCTCAAACTGAACCTGTTGTGCCTGAAAATCAGCACCAACCTGCAGAATTTCAATCTATAGCATTAGATAAGCCCCGAAGACAAGTTGGTAGGCCAATTTGATATGGTTTTGATGACATGGTGGCCTATGCTCTGCCAGTTGCTGAAGAAATGGAGTTCTTTGAGCCATCTACTTACAAAGAAGCAATCACAACGAAGGAGGCTGATGTGTGGATAACAGCCATGAGTTAAGAGATGGAATCCCATCACAATGATAGAACTTGGGAATTAGTGAAGTTACCTCAAGGCAGAAAAGTTGGACCTGTCAGTGGATCTTAAAGCGGAAAACGGGGCTGCCAGGAGCTGAAAGTGTGAGATATAAGGCCCGTTTGGTGGCTAGAGGTTATAGCCAAAAGCAAGGGGTTGATTATAATGAAATTTTCTCGCCGGTGATACGTCATACATCCATTCGGGTGTTGTTGGCACTAGTAGCACAAGCAAATTTCGATTTGGAACAATTGGACGTCAAAACGGCTTACTTACATGGTGAGCTTGAAGAGGAAATCTATATGAGTCAACCGGAGAGTTTTGTAGCTCAAGGTAAAGAAAACTATGTTTGTAAGCTCAAGAAATCGCTTTATGGGTTAAAGCAATCTCCAAGACAGTGATATAAACGTTTTGACAGCTTTATAGTGAGTCATGGTTTTACTAGAAGCCCTTGTGATTGCTATATATATCATAAGAAAGGTGCTGATGGGTCACATGTGTACTGCTACTTTATGTGGACGATATGTTAGTAGCGGCTCGTGATATGGCTGAAATTAAGAAGTTGAAAAGACTCCTTAATTCTGAGTTTGACATGAAAGATTTGGGGGCTGCTCAAAAGATTCTCAGTATGGAGATTATCCGAGATAGATCTAGACGTAAACTTTTCTTGTCCCAGAAAAGTTACATTTTGAAGATACTTTCTCGATTTGGTATGGCTTCTGCAAAGCCTGTGAGCACACCTTCATCGGCAAATTTCAGATTATCAGTGGCTTTGGCACCTCAAACAGAGGCTGAGGTGGAGTACATGAGCAAAGTTCCTTATTCTAGTGTTGTAGGAAGTCTTATGTATGTCACGGTTTGCACTAGACCTGACATAGCACATGCTGTTATTGTTGTTTCGCGCTACATGGCTTATCCGGGGAAAGAATATTTCATGAAATGTATTTTTCGTTACCTCAAAGGAACAGCTGATGTAGGTCTCATTTATGGAGGAGAAGGAGATTGTATTGTAGCTGGATTTTCAAATTCTGGTTACACAGCTGACCTTGACACACGGAGGTCATTAACGGGATATGTGTTCACTGTTGGAGATGCTTTAGGGTGCGTTTGGTACGTTGGACAGGGTGGGACAGGACAGGACAGAACACAATTGTCCTATGTTTGGTGTGGTTTTATGTGGGACTAACTAGAACAAACTAGAACAAGGGTGGGACAAGGTTGTCCACCCTTTACCCATGGAACTAAGTAGAACAAGAAACTTTTTACCACTTTACCCTCAAAAA